TGATTATTCTATGATACAGTCTTTTGCTAAAAAATTGACTATATTAGACGGCCAAGACGTTTCATGCTTTTATAATACACGATAGTTAATTTCGGATACAGTGAAACTTTCAATAAGCATACAGCTTAGTCAGTTCAATCCACACTTCAAATTCAATTTCTGTACGACTGATTTTAAATTTTTTATTTCAAGTGGTCTATTCCTCTGAAGCCTTACAATCAAAATTCTGTATGCATTTCATTGTTTCCCCGAGTGTCGATAATAAGATAAAGCGCGCAATGTTTACAAACTGGCTCCGAAACGTCGAACTCCACCCCACGTCCTCTTTAGTATTAAGTTCTATGGTGACTCACATAAAAACACACGAAAAGAAAGGAATGTACGGAGATAAGAGATATGCATGGAGCCTCCTTATTTTCAAGAAAGTAATACATTAAATTTTATTTTCAGTATACGAACTGGAAACGAATTTAAACACTATATCCAGAAATTCATTAGATTCTGGACTTCATAAAATCAACACACACAAACCTGGTACTAAAACAAATTCTGGGACTACTTCTGAAGATGTACAAAAGTCCGCTGAGATGTTTCCCCTGAGAGGACTCTCACAGATTGTACTCAGGAGAACCAAGAAAACGTAACGGAGTTCCTGAGTCTTTGGAAAGAAGTTTACAAACACAGAGCATCATCCTCCTTTACCTTTTGAGCTGGCGATATGATCACCTGAGCGCAGGCCGTGCCACTGATTTTGACTCATCTGATAAAACTCTTACAACCACAGAGTTAATATTGTGTCAACTAGACTAATATTCGCCTGGAGATACTGAGGAAAACCACTGAAACGTCTCATAGTATTAGATAATTGTATCAGATACCTCCCAAAAATAAGCCCAGATTAAGAATACTGCACCAAACGTTTCGGAGTATATACCTACTTCAATTCCTGATTCTGTATCTCTGGAGATAAGACAAAGGCGAATTAGGATTATTCGTTTTCTGGCAGAGAAACAAACACAAATTACGCAAGACACGTTGCCGTTAACGTGATCTGTGTGGGAAAATATTAAATTTGGTATTATTCAAGTGGCTAATTTCTGTGCGAACACTATTTTGTGATTCACTATTGTCTTTAACAGAAGCGGCAATGAAGTTTATAGTTTCAAAGGCAGATATGATACAAAAAAAATACTTTTGACTACTTTAATGTTGATCTCACGTTAATGCCAGCCACAAATCAAGTGATATAAGTTCTTTTATAATACATGCCAATGTAAAATGGAGATGGCTACTTCTCAAGTTGCTACGCCGTGTAGTTTGGTAGAAGTTTACCAACGTTTCGTGGCGATGAGATCTGATGATGTAGGCACCAAACATCTCTGAATCATCGTTAAACTTCCACTAGACTAACACAGCACAAGCAATCCGGAAGGACAGGGTGATACTTGAAACATTGCATTGTAATCTGGACCGCAGATGTATAATTGTTAGCGAAGCAGTCTTGACTATAAAAAGATGCAATCTATAAAACTATAAACCAAAAAAGGATTTGTGAAGGGAATTTCATGTTTTGTATTGACAAATATTTTAAATACGGTTTATAAGTATGCGTTTCGATTATTAATAAATTCAGAATCCCGCATTACCAGTACAATCCAGTTGACTCTATAGAAGAAAGAATTCACCCAGCCCACGAACGGCAAAAGCCACTCTCTGCAGTGCGCCTACCTAGCAGCAGGGCCTCCCTAATGTTGTTCTCTATGAGTGGCGAGACCCTCTGCACGACACTCTCGCGGTCCCCCTGCCAAAGGATCGGCGAGACACTCGCCACGCAGCGGACCGTCATGCTGCCTTCCACGAAGTGGCTGCTTGTCACCGTGAAGCGAAGTCCCAGGGTAGAAACCAGCAACCCATGCTGGTGCACCAGGTTTGGGTACGACACCAGGGCATCGGGGGAGGTCACCTGAAGACAGCAAGCACAACATGCGGCTTGAGGTTCTGACGGCCGCGAAGCTGTAGATGTTGGTCCTCTGGGTTGTAATGTCGCTTGGACTTCTTAGTAGACACCGATGTCTCGGTGTTGAAGACGGACATACGACGTTACCGCCCACGGGGCCAACATCGACATTAACCAGAACGTTCATGACTTATCCTTCAATGAACATTTGTTTTCCCCTGAGTAGTTATACGATGTATATTACATTTTCATGTAATAATCTCTGTTTCAGTCTGGAGGAAAGTGTTAAAAGTGCATCAAACAAACATCGAAGCTGATGGGTAATTTCATATTGATTGGTTTCAATGTCGTGTAGTCTTAGATGTTGTTAACGACATTTGAAATAAACATATCGCGTCGATCTTCAGGGTATGAGCAAAGATCGAGTCATCATATTTCTACGAAACGTAAGTATAAAAGTACAAAAATACGCGACCAAAACTTTTAAACATTTAAAACGTCTGCCTAATACGAATAAATATCACGAACCGTAGTTTTAGAAGAGAATCTGGATCTTACTATAATTATATCAGACGACAAATTCTTTGGAATGAGAATTTCAGACGAACGTGTGTATGCACGTATTCATACGTTAATGTACATATGTACATACGTTTGTTTTTACACGCACGTATGAATTCATGCATGTGAGTGGCTCAACGACGTTCTCGTCGTTAACTAATTAGCAGCCTGCTCTCTAGCTCCTCCGATCAAATTGGGCAAGTCCACTCGCCGCCTACTGCCTGTACTATACGAGGCTACTAAGAATGGGCTCACCATACTACTCTTCCTGAATATGGCAACTGTAATGTTTGTCGAAACGTCTGATAACTTTCAACATTCGGATCGGCTGATCCCAAAAGGCTTAAGTTTAAGATTTTAAAATATCCCAACCCGTTCAACTACATTTATTTCTGGATGACGTCATCCCGAAAAAGCACGAGAACGTTTAAAACTATGTTTTTATGCAGTACGAAGTACGGAGAGTGTCCTAAAAGTTAACAGAAAAATGTTCCTGAAAATGGTACAGAGACAATATCTTGTTTCCTGGAAGAGGGTAGTTTATCTTCACACATCGCACCCTCGACTTGGTCATGGCTTCGTGGAACAAGAACAGGAAGAAGGAAGACTTCTTCCAAGTGTCCACTGTTTTAAAAATGAACTGCATGTGACAACGCAATTTTATTCTGGTCCATTTGTTACAGACGGAGGACACATGCCCGATCACGTGGATGAATAATGGTCGAGCTTACAAGTGCATTTTAAACTTGACGGGAACTCAAGTCGTCCAATATATTTTATGTCGGTTAAAGACAAAGACAGGCAGTACACATAAGCATCTGGGGCCCGGGAAGTCGGATGTGTACAGGTGCTACAAGTTGGTAAGAAAACACTCTGTAAGCTTTGAAGATTTCACGGCAAATAAATACATCAGAATCCCCTCGGCGAACAGCCGCACAGAAGTCAAATTGTAAAAAACCAACGTCTTGTGTTTAGGACACCTGATGGCAGAGACTTAACTGCAAGGAAGCTAATCTCTTGAGAATAAAATAAGTGTCTCTCTTATAGTTCTTGGTAATGTTCATGTATTGTAATACAACTTAACTATTTAACAAGTCTAATTAACAACCTTCAATTTACACTCCTAACTTTTAGCGCAGTGACAACCTCGTAAAATTTTTATGTTTCACGTGATTTATACTGTGAGTGAAGTGCGTAATTGTAAGAGGAATAACATTTTTAATGCAGACTGGATAAATTATACAGGAAATTTAAGTTCTGAGCAATATTTAACGCTTATTATCAAACCATTTAAAGAGAAATTAATAATCCATTACATATCCATGAACTTCATAACTGATGCAGGATGCGTATGGACGACGTTTTGCCAAATTTAATGAAATGCTAAAAGTTGTATGGGCTTCAGCTTTTAATAGGGCTGACCGTACGAAGTAATATTTTGTTTCGGTTTGGACGAAAATTAAAGAGTCGCGTATGCACTCAGTCGAAAGTTTTAAATTCCCCTTTAATTATAAGATATTATGTTTCTTTACAGTATTCCGAATACTTTCCTGCTCCAAAATTGTTTTTACCAAATTTCTTAACAAAGTTATTCCAAAATACTATGAACACTAAGTTTTCTGAGATTTGACGATCTTATGGAAGCGAGTACGCAGAAGGCTGTTTAACGGCGTTTCAATGGTGCTTACTGGTTCTATCATCGGGACGATGAGAAATCCGGGCGCGGTGAATCGGCTTCATATATGTGTTCCAGCTGGACAAGGTAAAACCTTTGCCTTCTCCCGATCTCTATCCACTTCTACGACTGCTCAGGCCACGGTTCTACCAGTCTGGCTGGTCCACATGGCTCAAACCGATCTCTCATCGCCCTGATTGTGGCGGCAGCAATGACCTCTGAAACGTCGGTAAGCTTTACCACACTATACACGGCAATATAACCCAGAAGACAGTCATTTTCGGACACCGCCGTGAAAACCTCAAATCCTACTTCAGCTTGACAATAATATAAGACGAGCATGTTTCAAAACGCGAGTAATTACTGGTAATTCGATTAACTATTAGTTTGTAATGTACCTAGACGGCCTTCGCTATGTCGCATATTTTGAAACGCTGTTTCTGTAAGAACATTCATTTCATGGCGTTGGGTAGATTAAACCTCGGTAGTAAAATGAAAGCCGGTACCACGAGCCGGAAGTTTGGCTCGAATGGGGGAAAATGAAGGGCATAGACTCTCAGCGTTCGAGCACGCAGCGCTGAGAATGTGCAAGCCTGATATGGGAGAAGTAAGTTAACATTAGAACGAAGGAAGATATGAATCGAAGAGCTTCATATATTAAACTTTCAACAGAATAATATTGGATTTGTCCAATCGAAGAGCTTGAGATTTGTGTAGCATAAATACTGATAGTAATTAAATAATTGTGCACAAAATATACCTTGCGAAAATGTGAAAAGATTAGAAAAGTTTAGGTACAACGGCGTAAATCTGAGTATAACATAACAGGAACCGAGTTTGTGGGATGATTTGTAATTGGCTTAAGAAATGGTCTAATTGCGGGAACCTATGTGCTCGATAATTGACCTTCAGTTTCCATAAAATGTGAGGAAATCATTTCCTGAATAACTAGGCAAATATCGGCTTCCCTAGAGAAATTATTCTGTACGCGGTTGAAATAAAATGAAGAGGATATTACTGAAATGTACGAATCTGGTACGTATAACCGTGACCCGATTAATGATGATATTGCGAAATTTGATTTTACGAGCTTCTGTGAAAAAGGCACCTTAGTAGTGTACTTTTATTTTACGTTAAAATTACTATTGAACGGATAATCGTCTGTTTACAGACATCGTTCGGTTCTGATAAGGACGTTGATTTATGGTTCCCGTTTCGCTTGTCATTTCTCGATCATGGATATAAAGGGCGAAAAGACAGACAGGGAAGGTGATGCTTATCGTGAAGAGCATCTCCTCGCTCAAGAAGCAACTGGAAACCTGAAGTTGTACTTTCAACTAGCCATACGGAACCACACATCAAAGCGAAGTTCAGGAGGCAAGCTGTCCTGAAGTACCGAGGCTCTAAACTGGAGTTTTCATCGATCGCCAAGGAAAAATAGAAGCTTTCTCTCCAAAAATACAGCACATATTTCACAAATTCGTTATATGTGCCTTTACAGACATCACCGGACTTACAAGTATATGACAAATGTACACACTATTTTGGCAGTTAATAATTAAAAGATTAAACTCCTTGGGATAATTGGCGGTAAACAGAACTTTGCATTAAAATAATTACAGAAAACCTGTGATGTAAATCTGTGAATCTGATTAGACTGGCACAGGATAGGACCGCTGGAAAGCTTTTGTGAACGCGGTAATGAATCATAGGAATTAATGCTCTATATTTTAAGATATGTGCTTGTAAATTCTTGAGCCCTAACGGCGACGTTGACAATGGAATGAAATACCACCCAGAGACCGGGAGGTGGTACGGCCGTAGGATTACAGAGGTTAAAACCAAATAATCAAAATATATTAAAGTATAAATAAAGAAGAGCATACCGGATGAAGTCAAACAAAACTCACTCCGCTCAGGCTACGGCTGGGATACCGACGAGAAACTTTCCACATACACAGAACACAACGCAAGATTAGTCATAGCTCAGAAGAGGCAGGAAAATTTGTCTTCAGTCTAGCGCTCGCGAAGTATCTTGCGCGGAGGTCACACACAGACTGCCCGTCGCACTGCCTCATAAAGGCATCGAAGCCTGTGGCTCCAAAGATCGCGGAGATGGTGGAGATAGTCCACTCCGAGCCACGGTTCATGATTTTATTTTAAATAAGACGTTGTTTTTTTTAGAAAAATAAAAGTTTACAGAGCACAGATAAGGAACAGATTCGTCCAAGAACTATTTGTCCACCGCGGAACCCCGTAAATATTGACATAGTTTCTGGGGGGAAAAATATGAAGTTCGACGGAGGGAGAAGCAGTCGATTTCTAGTTTTATTCTAATCCGAATAAAGTAGAACCTTCGATATTTAACCCTAACTCTGTTTCCTTCCCGTCGTAACCACGGTTGTTACTGACACATCTAACTCGCTTAAAGAGACGTTTGAAGTACCACTACAACTTGAGAGCATGAAAACAACTGAAAAAATTAAAAATGTTTTACAGGAAATTTGTATTCGAGTCTAGACGCTCGGAAGTAATGTTAAGGTAGACACAATTTATTCAAGACGTAAAATACGAGACCTGAGGTGGGTTACTTACGAGAGTAAAGATGTGAGAATGTTCTGGGTTGTAACGCTGCACAGACTTGTGACTGGTTACTGGCATTCCTCCTAAACATTGGTAACCACCCATATGACTACATGCAGTCACAGTACAAAAGACCGCAATCGATAAGGAGTCATATCAAATTTGGCTTAAGATGAATTTTTGTCTCATATACATAACTTAAAACTTAAAGGGAGTGAAATTCAATAGCATTTTTAAAGGTTCCTTATACAGCATCTCACACCACAGCTGGTTAGCAGTCTGCGCGATTTCAGGAAGTTTGCTTAAAGTCTTAGTCTTAATCTAGTGTTTAATGACCTACGTTTCCGACGTTTTTGGAAACATGCAATTTACATATTTCAATTACAGCACGTACTGAACACTCAACGTCGGCGGCAACCGATGCTAAATAATATCTCCTTGAAGAAGGACTTAGACAGGCTCCCGAAACATCGACAAACCAGTGTACTGTAACGCAGTGTCATCATTCAAGGATGATAGCAAAGTTTTTCTTCTTTTTTGAAACTTAAATTTTTAACGATTATGTCTAGTTACACCTCGTGGATTTCTAAAAGTCCTAAACTCCGAAGCTTCGGGCTGATTGCCCGAGAAGATTATATTGATTGTAGATAGTACTATTATTTAAAATTATGTTGTAAACTCAAATGTTCCTGTGTTTGGGGATAATATTTCTTTTCTATGAAACACACGATGTGCATCGAACGGTCAGGTAAATGACAAGCTTTTTGAGTAATAACGACTGATAAGTCATGCAAGTATTTGTCATATTTCCCCACAGATACAATCCGACCACTCTGCTAGATTAACTAAGAAAATGAATGACACTGCAGGTGGAAAATTGTAGCAGACGAACGATTTGATCAATACTAAAGTTTTAAATACACCACAACAAGCATAAGTCCGCAGCTCATTACGTTGCACCAAGTCGTATTGCAATGACATACCAGTAATCAGCCAGATATTCCTAAATGCGAGTTTGGTTTCACAGCTTTATTTACAAAACTTTCGAAAAAGTTTGGGGATTATTAGCTACTAAAGTTGCGAAGGCTCACACGATTTCTGAATGTGCGATCACCTAATCACTGCTGCGAGTAGACCAATCGAAGGTAAGGTTATTTAATGACGACGATGGTAAAATAAACAAATTATACACCGTCAACGTAACTCATATACGTATTATCACATGTGACAAACATTACAACAGAATGGAATTCACATATGTCCGCGTATTTTTTGTTATGCTAATATTATCATAAGTTTTGCCATATATAATAATATTTTACATGTGTATACAAGTTTTGTATTTTGGAACCCACACAAGAGAATTCAACCATTCTAAAAAAAAGAGTAATAAGTCTTGTCAAAGACCTAACCTCAATAAAGACAAAAAACTGCGTGAACAGACCTCGGAGTAGCCATAAAAATTGTATTCGGTAAACATTCGAAATAAACGGCCTATGCGTAGAACCGAAGTTGCAACAGTCGATTCGATCCATCAACCCCTCATCCCATCCAATAATCATCCATCCAAGCATAACCCACACGTCAATCCAGCCATCTACCCAACCATCTTATTTTCCGAGATAACTGCATATAAGCGGATTGCGACCAAATTCTTTCCAATTTTAAATGGAAAAATATGACTATTATCTTCATGCTCCTGTTATCGTCTCTTATATCTATCGAACCAACTCTCAGATTTTCATAGGCATGGGACATCATACCACTATAGCCCGCATCAGATTTTGATTTTAAGATTTTTTTATCAAAGAATACCAAAATTACTAAAGTGTAAAACACACTTCATGCAGAATTCTAATATTTCGCGCGCGGAAATATCAAGGAAATATATAACTTCATGACGGTCATGTTTGTACGTTACGGTGAATTCCATTACATATAAAGTAATTTTATAAAATAATTAAGATTTTATAGTACGGTTTCTAATTGCAATAGATTGATACAGTTGCACAGAGGTTCACTTATGTTACAATTAATATGATAGGCAGAAGACATGACAATAGAAATTTAAGTCATGAAAGTCTTAAGTGCTTTGAGATTGACGAAACTTCAAAATGACCAGTTTTGTCAACATTTGATTAATAAAATAGCAATTTAAGTCATGAAAGTGTTAAGTGCTTTGAGATTGACGAAACTTCAAAATGACCAGTTTTGTCAACATTTGATTAATAGCTTGTATATACGTAAACACATTTCAGAAAAAGGAAATTGAACATAATATTTGAGATAGATGACACTTTCTCACTGCTGTAATTGAACGTTGAAAATCTATTTTATTTTGTTTAATAGCAGTATTATCTTCCACTGAGGTAACATTGACAAAACGCGGTTCAATATGAAACACTTTCATTATTAACTGTGACGTTTCCCTGTCATATATTTATAAAGGGTAATTTATTGTCTTCCCGATTGTTTCTAAGAAAAAGTTTTATGCCTGTATGATTGAAAGGAATATCTTCCAGAATGAACTTGCAACACTGGTAGTCAAACTTATGAGATTTTTACAGTTAGCATAAAGAATTTTGTGGGTGCATCTAGAAACACCACATTGCTGTTTTCATGTTCAACGCACACGTTAGTATTCTTATTATGGCTGGCGATAGCTGGAACTTTCACAGCAGGAGAAATATAATGATTAAAATAAAGTTAGTTAAAGATTGCAACTTCTATTAGTATTTTAGTTCATCTTTTAAAGTTTGCTCCTGATTACCGCTGCTACCACACTAAATATTTAAAATATAAAAATCTCTAAAATTAAGTTAAAAAATCATTGGATCTATAATATATATCATTTTAATCAATTTAATTTTAAGGATTTTTTTTTCCGAATTTTGCTTTAATTAACCATATCATGAAAACAACATAATATCTGTAGGCATAAATAACTTATTTAGCTTTCGATTTAATTGAAGATAGACAGGTGAAATTTTATACGAACGTAAATCATAAATTACAACATCGGTGTTAATAGCGTTCTCTATGTTAATTACTACTATGGCTAAAATGAAATAATTTGTTGTTATATAAGGCAAATTTGAAGTGGAGTTTCAATCTGTATTAGAGGGCAATATATACGGGACTGTTTCTCTAAGGTGTAAGATTATTAATCTGTAATTCTTGAAAGCTTCGCCACATAGACTAAATCAGTTCAAGGATAATAGTTGTCTTATGTTCTTGTAAGAATAACACGGTTACCTGTTCGTCGTTGATGAACCATTGTAGCTCTGAGGCAGGATATGACTTCCCCGACGTGCAGTTTAGGCTGATTTCGTCTCCTATCTGGTGGTACTGCTTCTCTTCCCCTGTGATGTGTGGACCGTCCTTCGGCAGATCTGCAGAGAAAGAGAACATACCTTGAGACTTTTTCAATAAAGTGCAAGGCAGATCCAGAAATCACGAAGTGAAATAAAACGTCAGTGGGGAAATTTAGTCCAACGACAGTCTCTTTTTACGTATTTATTTACATTTAACATGCATTCATAAAATATACATATATTTACAGCATATAAAAACTGACACTTGCTAATCTAGTCGCAATACAGTTATATACAATACCGCATAGTGAGAAATATAATTTTCCGTTTACGTTCTTAAACATCAGCCCTATGCAAAAATGTTAAATATCAACATATTTCTATATTAAGTAACAATTATTGTTTTACGATGACACACTTTAGGGTAAAATTATAAAAATTTGACCTGAAAGCAATAAAAATATAAACACAGATGAGGGAACATTAGCTGCTGGGATAGGTTTTAAATTTGGGAGCGGCTGTCATCAGTGATTAGATGTTTTAGAAGATGGCTGTCCTCTGAATTGTAGCGCCGTATAGAATCCCAGTGTTTCAGAGGT